AAGTTGTGTGAATTTTTCAATAAATTCTTTTGTCAAAACCACTTGCAATCTGATTCATAGCTGAGCGCCTTGCCGCCGGTTACATTAGTTTATTTAGTTCTTAACAGATTCATGAAAACGAAGCTAAAATTATTTAAACAATTGTACCTTCCATTAAAAGTTATTAATTCTTTGTTTGGTGTGGTCTTTTTTCTCCAAAAAGTCCTTTCACAAATGACCAATTTTTTTTAAATTATTGTTCGTAGGTGAAAGCCGGGATTGAAATTTACAATGTTCATTTCATTAATGCAAGCTTCAAAGCAAAACAAAAATCAAACTTTGAATGCTGAATTGAAATCTTTGAACCTTGAAATGAACGCACAAGCTTGTTTGACTGTAATTACGTCCAAGTTAAAAATGTCCTTTATTTGCAAGTAAATTTAAGTGATTCTTTCAAAAAAATAATATCTCAAGCATATACAATGTATGTTAAGGCCTGGTCTTAGCTTGTATTCAATTTCAACTCAGAGGATCGATGACAAAACAACGAATTTTATCAGTGTTCTCATGACACTAAGATTTTATTGTTTTGTCTTCTGAATAGACCTCTTTGGCTTGAGGTAATGTTTTCCCATTTCAGACCACGTGTCATTCTCTTGAGAATAAGATTCTTTGCTTGAGCTGTATCCATATTCATGTGTCTCCTCATGTGCAACCGAGCGCAAACCTTTAACAAAGAAATGATACTCTAGGGAATGACGTGGTCTAAAATGGGAAAACATTACAGTATGTCAGAGCCAAAGAGGTCTATTGGGCAGGATTGGGAATATTCTGCTGGGTTCTGTTGCATGATTTCCCTATCACCACCCTATACACTTAACCTCTTGATCAGCGTGTAGCTATGAAAACAGTGGTATAAATAAATGGTATTTTATATTTATATAGCTAGGTTTATTGTTTATTGTTTATAATAACATTCTCTTATTCAATCAGTAGCCTTGGGCTTTGAAATCAATGGTTTCTGACGGTGTGCATTCAACTGCATAATGGCAGGATTCAAGAAACCCAATTAAAATGTGCATATATCATAATCATTCGAGCAAGCCTAATTAAGCTTAATCAATAATATTGTGTCCCCGTGATTTTAAAATTAGGGGAAAAAATACCAATTTGCTACCCAATATTTTCCTATATATATCCAGTAATGTAATGAAAACATTGAATTAGAGGTTGTTAAAAATTAAACAAAAATACTTGTGGGTGTGCGTGGTTGTTGATATATATTGAAAATCGAGAATTTTACACTTGATTTTGACATCGGACCATCGCTGTTATATCCAGACCGTACCCATGACAACCTTCAGAGAAAGAGGAATTTCTAGACTCCCAAAAACGTGTTCAAATTCTTATTTCAGATTCAGAGTATTCTTTTTGAAAAATATTGAAATAGAAAAAAATATCGAAGTACAGAGCATCACTCAATTGACATTTATAGGTTTTAAATTCAGCTAAGGCGATTTTACAGGCGGGAACTTTCGATATGCCTTGATGAAGAAGCTATGCGTGCCCTGCAGGAAGCTTACATAATATATATGAAAATACGTTATGCAACAACTTCGACTTTCAAAAACAAAATATTGGTATCCAAAAGTCTTGATTTATTTATAAAGGTTTTTAGTATTAAATTGGTTGAAGTTTTCGGTGATTAAATAAAAGATTTATTGGGAACCATTTATTATGTAAGAATAAGCGTAATTCAATACCTTCACTGTATAAGAAGACCAAAGCAATGACCATGCACAGAGGATGGTAGTTAAACTCATGGGCTGATCCATCCCAGGCGAAGCCTCCACGATACTTGCCCATCCATATTCCGGTCAAGATCAAGGACAAAATACCAAGGATTTGGATAAGAGTTATGCAAACGATGAAAGCGAGGGGAGAACCTCTTTCTGAAGGACGTGTCATTTTAGTTTTCTGTCACTTGCTTTGTCGTTGTGTTCAGCAGGTGAAATGCGGGAATTTTTCTAAGAGTGTGGTTAGTGGCGGGAATAAGTGAGTTGAAGCCAATGATGGTCCAAAGGACGCCAATTCTAGCGGTGAAGAGAAGCGATAAAAGAACAGTCTTGCCTGTTACGCTTCGCCTGCTGTTTTGATTTTCTGTTCGATTTGACACTGAACAGGTGAGAAGTTGTTTTGCCTAGCCCTACCCGGTCAAGAAACCACAGGTATACCATTACAAAATGTCAAGGAGAACATGGCAACTAGGTACATAAAACTAACAAATAGTAAATGAAAAAATAATATATAAGCGAATGAATATATTGATACATACTATGAATGAATAAAAAATAAATGAATGAATGGCTCAGTAAATGTATGAATGAATGAATGAGTGAGAGAATAATGAAATTGAGTAAATAAATGAATAAATGAACGAAAGAAAGAAAGAAACTTTATACATATTATTTTTATTATTAATCTATTTTTTATTCATTTATTTATTTTCAATTAATTAATTGATTTATTTTTATTCATTTATTCATTTTTTTCCTCTAAGCGCGCAAATTTGTTTAATTTAATGCGGCATGCACATATGCCATGGTTTGATTTCTTTTTCTTTGTCAATTGTAACGTTTTTCATTTCCCTGAGGATGGCCGAGTAGGCCAAAAGCTCAGATCATATTATTAAATCTATGGTTGATAAAACAAACTATTATGAATGTAACAACAACCAACAAGGAACTTAGTATTTGAAGGAAGAAACTTGTATTTGTAACTTCCATCATTTCTAAAAATACCTCAATCATTAAATTACAAGTTTATATCATGGGCAGTCTGTATAAGTATTGCCTTTTCCAAATTTGAGCCAAAGTTTAGAAAGCATAAGACAGCATCCATTTGCAAACCCCCAAGAAAATTGAACAATTAATTTAGATCTTTAAAACAAAGGGACTTAATTATTCTCAGTTAATTTCAAAAGATAGAAAATACCTCTTGGTTTTTCTATCTTCGTTTTCTAGCTAAATAAAAATGAGTGAGGCTGTGGATTGAAAGAAAAGATGTAGGGAAGTAAAAATTGAAAAGTTATTTAACTCCCTTTCACACACACACTTTTTCAGTTTTTCTTCCAGGCCCATTTAGTGTAACAATAATTGTTACAGTAATAACCGTTACAGTGAAAAATGGTAATTGCAAAATGGTAACTAATAATGTGCATGAATGAGATTAACATTATTGTAATAATGTCCAATAGCATTTTAAAATTAAAATTATGTATACATATATCAATCCAATGCAGGTGCTGTTTGTACTTGAGACCTCAGCAACTCTGTTCTTGGACAACCACTAACTTCTTTATAATCTTTTCCTTGATCTAAACTATATTCTTCATGGAATTCTTTATCAAGTAGCTCTTGTTTGCTGTTCATAAGAAAATACGTCTCGCAATTTAATTCTTCTGCGTTTGATAGAACAACTTGACATGGCAGTCTTCTGTACCAAGAAGGATGATCTTCTAGTTTATCAAGATGAACTAAGGCTTCCTCATCAACTTCATAGATTTCTCCTTTGATATTCTGATTAAAGATTAAACAAAATATCTTATATATCTTTAAGAATAAATAATCATATAATATATAGCAGATCTAAGATGTTTTGAAAAACATAGTACAAATTCATATATAAGTCAAGTAAGTCTTAAAACTTAAATCTTAAAACAAGCCTGATCACCCCCTAATACAAAATTAATGGTTAATAATGGCAATTTCCAGTGACTTTTCTTTTATGGATCATAGATGAAGTCTTAAAATTTTCAAAACTCAAGTGGAAACAGGAGCGCAGCAATTTGTTACCATTAATGACTGCTGTGTGCATAACAGTGATAATGGGTTTCCAGTTGGGTGCGTGCTACAATGTTAGACAAAAATACAAGCAGATACCCTATACTATACAGTACTATTTTCAAAGCATACTGTTGTAGTCGCTCAGATCGTGTAGAATCAAGATGTTTATTTCAAGCCACTGTTATAACTACTCAAGTACAATAAGTAGTGTCTATGATTATATAATGATAACATTGGGATCATATAACATTACGTCATATATTACACATACCTAAATGTTACACGTTATATTTAAGGTTACTTGATCTGTTTCTTACAAAAGTAATTAAGAAAACCCGGGGAGGGGGGGGGGGGTGGAGCCCCAGCCTCTTCCGCCCCTTTATGGGCCTGCAGGGGCTATGCCGCACGATTGATTTAGCGTGGGGAAAAAAACAAAATCAAAAAACGACAATAACTGTGTAAATTACGTGAAAATAGCAAAATGTAGAGTGTGATTCGTGAATTCTGGAGTTACCATTTTATAACTTTGTTTTGTTTTTTATGCTGTTTTTTAAAAAATCACCCTCCAATGGAATTCATTTGCCTTTATTCAAGACTATTTTACTCACCTTTCCTTGACCAGGAATAGGAAGCATGAAGGGTATCTTAGCATCTGTGCCTATAACAAGAGGGTAACGCTCCTTCGTTACAGCATGTTCCACAAACGTTGTTTTTCCTTTTGGAGGGTTTTTCAGTAAATAGTGGTTTGGGAATCCATTCTTTAGCGTCCCATACACAAATATCTTGGGCATAACTCTGTTCATCTTGAAATCTAAGAAGTGTGTAAAGGGGTATTTTAAAAATTCAATAAGAAAATAAGTAAAAAAACATTTAAAAAACGCTAAGATTGAATGAGCAAAACCGGCGATAAGCTTATTGACAATTTTACATGTGGCGCACTTGTACGGTATTAAAGAATCTACATAAGCTTATGCCTAATGTCAGATACCTCGTAAAGTTCCTATAGCTAATTTGGAAAACTTAGAATATGATAAATAAACTTTGAAACTGTGTTTTCCACCTGCAGTTAGCTAAATTAAGTGAATATTCCAGGCAACCGGAATCAGCACAAACCAGGGAGACAAAGGTAACACAGGAAGCCCACCCCATACCTTGGAGGGTCAGGTGCAAAACGCTCCCGATCACCTCTCCCTTGAAGACATAGGGTCATGGAGCTAAACTAAAGAGTTGTATTTACCTAACAAAAAAATGAAATTTGAATCACTGGGAAATGGGAAATAGGTTTTTTTTAAACTACAGCAAACTGGGATTTTGTAAAATGGGATTGGAAACTTCCTTTTGAGATAGCTGCAGACCATCTGTAAAATGAATTAATCTCAGTATCAAAAGCATGCCTTTTGCAATGCTGATTACCTTGAGAATAAGATTCTCTTTTATCATTAACACTGATATTATATATCTTTTCAATTTTTGCCAATTGTCTAGTTTTCCCATCAGTGCCATCTTCTCATATCAAAACTGTTAATTATAGATTTTAAAACTAAAAGAAAGGAAATTTGACATTATTTCAGGGGCGGCAGAACCGGGGTGGCTGGGGGGGAGAGCATGTGCTCCCTCACGAATTTTTTTGGGGGGGCTGGGCCCCCCACAAAATATTGGTTCACATGAAATATAAATGCATAGTTTCGATTTTTAATACTGTTATTGTTGTGTTTTTTCAAGTGCCCCCTCAAAGATTTTTTGCAGTGCCCTCCCCCCCTCCCCCCAAAGATTTTCAGCTTCCGCCACCCCTGTATTTTTAGGATTAGTGGATAGATAATGTCTGTCATCAACCATGCAAAGTTTGTGATGACATGCAAAGGAGTGGTCCTTTCCGAAAGGACCACTCCTTTGCATGACAGGTTGGGAGCAAGTTGCAATCTCAATTTTTATATTCATTGGTACAGTTATGTAATACATAGGGACTGTTCACTAATTATTATAAGACTGGGAAATAAAAGATAAATTAGATGTATACTTTTATATTTTAGTTTAATACATGATCCCCTTATGAATTTTGAAGATAAAGATTCTTCAAAACCCCTGGGCCCGGTTGTACAAAGGGTGGATAGCACTATCAGAAGGATAAATCTTATCCAGTGGATAAGATTTATTGGATAACAGCATTGACTTATCCACTGGATAAGGATATATCTGCCAGATAGTGCCATCCAGACTTCGTAAAACCAGGCCCTGATGCCATAAAAATTATGTCACATGGCCTTTCTTTTTGGTGGTTCAGTATACCTGCCAAAAAAGTTATGAACTTTGACATATATACATGCATGTCCCTGCCCTTCTTTTGAAATAGCGTAAACATACTGCTTCCCTAGACAATGTTAGGGACTGTCCTGCCGAGAATGGACTATCATAATTCATAATATATCTCATATTTCAGTACAAAGATCTTTTTTTTAAATCTGACTCCTTTCGTGTTATGTATAACGTATTTTACGTCAAATTTTGAAGTTGATATTTATGGCAAAATACAAGGAACACTAACTTAAATTCTCGTAAAAAAATGTCTTCGAATATATTTTCTTTTCTTCAAATTAAACAAGAGTTAAAGTTACGACAATCTTGTTAGAGGTCTTATACGCTAAAAAGCATAAAGAGAATGCCAATTTAATTATGTAACTTCTATCCAAGCTTCTTTTTTAGATGTTCCAACATCCATTCAACTGTCACAAACCACCATGAGTTCGGCCGGTAAATCGAATTAGAAAAAATGCTCATCTGAGAAGCTGGAGAAAGAACATGAAGATGAAGATGCTGAATTGAATTAAAAGGTGGCCAGTGGAAACCAATTCTAACGTCATCTGAATCCACTTTTTCTTGCTCTAAAATCTTATAAGCCACCTCCTTCATTTTCTGTACGAGTTCCAGTTGCCGACCGTCCAGTGATTTGGGGTTTCCATAATGCACTTTTGGAATTATTAAGTAGTGATATTTTGCTGCAGGTTGAATGTCTGGAAAGGCAACAAATTCCTCATCTTCGTAAGCTATTTGTGCCTCTTTTTCCTTTGCAGAAATTTTGCAGAAAATACAGTTTTCCTTTCTTCCTGGCACTTCGTCCGCCATGTTTGTTCAAATAAGAACCACAGGCAACCCAACATGGGTATTTATAGATTTGGAAAAAATTTCTAATTTATCTTATTTATTTTTCTAGGTAAAGGCATTCATTATTTGTAGAATATTAAAAAGGTCAAAAACGTTTTTAAATCGTTTCATTTTCCTTGATGATTTTGGAGCGATGAAAAACCACAGGCAACCCAATCCCCGCCTGGGCATGGTCACTCAATTACCTTATTTACGTTACTCAAAAATAATATTGAATAATGCTAGACTAGCTAGCTAAGAAAAGAAGGAAAGATGCCTCGAATAAAGAGTAAAATATTCTAATTTTTAAGGTTTGTTTTCCGGTCCCTTTTGTCTGCGGTCCTCTTTGGCAGCGCGAAGGAGAAAAATGAGCCGAGTAGACCTCAGTCCTTTTGGAAGAGCACTTCGATCCACATGTGAGTCATCGAAAGAAAGAGAAAAAAGAGAAGATTTCTACTCAAGTTTGATCCCGAATTTCTGCCTTTATTCTCCTCGGCATTCTGCCAGGGAACCTTATACTAGTAGAACTATGTCTGATGATAAGTCTTTGGAAGATTTTTTTGCTAAAAAGAAAGCTAAAAAGGGTAAGAATAAGAACAAATTTACGACCTCGGATGTAATTACCAAGCAAGTCAGCCAACCCAAGAAAGATGAATCCAAAGATCAAAGCAGTAAAAAATTTGCAGCAACAAATCAGGCTATATCAGGAAAGGTATGAAAAGAATATGAAGCGATATATTATTTAGGCTTACGCCTTTATACCGTGAGATGTGATTATGACTTGATTTAATTTCTAAACAAATTTTGACTATGTTCGTGCATAATCAGCCGGTTCATTCAAACGAGAGAAAAATTCAGTATGCCGACATAATACTCCTATTATGTAATTCAGGCAGAAAAGCAAGGAGGAAATTTGATTTAATGGAGGTGAACCGAGTTATGGTTCACCACTGATTCTCAAKATCACCCTATTTGGCACACACGAGAGGGGGGCTGTGAAAAGCAAGGGATTGTAAATGAATTAATTTGAAACAAACTCACACTCAATATGTTTTGGTAGGACAAATAGGATCATAGTTCTATGCTCTAGACTGGTTTTACCTAACCCAGGAAATTGTAGACAAATAGAGTGAAGTTATGCTTTTTATTTTGATGGAGGTGGGGGGGCAGGGGTGGGAGGGAGAGCTGTGTGATTTACAGGCTCCGTTTGGTTCTCTTCAGTGCTTTGAGGGTTTTTCCCTGGCTTCTCTGGTTTTCCTCCCTCCAAAAAAAAAATCAGTTTCTAATTTCCAATTTTTTTCTCGGCAGGATTAACCTCCTATATCTACTTTCACACTATAATGCAATAGAAGTGGTTGATTTTTAATACTTTTTTTATTGGTTATTCCTTGGACAGACACACCATATGTGTATTATAAAAGTTCTTCAAAAGAATTCTCCCTTCAGGTTCTCTGGTTTTTGCCCTCCAAGGCTTAACAACTCATGGTCCATGCACTACTCTCACAAACAATGCTGATTTATTTTGCATTTCCTCATAGGAGGATGAAGAATGGATAGATTTCCAGCAACCACAGGAAAAGGACTATTCTGGCTTAAGAATAGGGACACTACAAATATCGTAAGTATCTACAGCTCAAATTGATTGGCTAATACCAAGTGAAAATGGTTTGGTGATAAATGCTCTCCTCTCACCTCTGAGGTTCATTGATATTGAGTTGGGTGGTTCTATTCCTGACTAAGTGATTTTTCCAGCTTTCTGGTTTTCCTTCCTCCTCTTAAATCAACCCTAATAAATTCAAACTGGTTAGAGCTTTGCTCCAGGGTCATACATAACATGGATCTTATAGCAGCTGCCAGACACCTTGGATGACTTTAAGTTCAACCCACATTGTTGACTTGTGGTGTTGAGCGATAACAGGTTTACTGTGCATTAAGTAGGAACTCATCCTCCCCCAATCTTTTTTCCAAAGTGATAAACAGGAACAAGAAGCAAATGAAGAAGAGGAGAGAGAAGAATTTAATGAAGATGGTAAATAAATAGCACGAGCTAGATAGTATAGAGGCTGTGCACCATCACTTGATGGTAGCCATGACAGGAGGCACAACAATAGAGTCTTTCTCCCTTGGGAAACTGAATTCTTTCTCATGTAAATTAGATTAGACCAGATTCAATATTGTTCCTGCCTCCTGTCCTGGCTGCCATCATGTGATGGTGCAAAGACTCTATTTTTATACCTCCTGTTATGGCTGCCATCGCATGATGTTGCAAAGACTCTATGGTTGTGCCTCCTGTCATGGCTTCCATCACAAGATGGGGCAAAGACTCTATTGTACTCAGTATTAGTTCTTAAAAAATACTGACAGGCAAACAATTATGCCCTATTAGTCACTGTTCATGGTTATAGGACAAATTAGTTTAAGCTCAGGCTCAACTTTACTGGGCAAAATGATCAGCAAAAAAAAGGTTTGATTGGACAAGCTCCAATTCTGACTGGACATTGTAAGATGTCTTGTTGTTTTATAGCTCTGACTGGGTCTTTGGAAATTGCTCACAGGTTTGGTGAATTCAGAGATAAAAGTAATCACCAGCCAAGGGCAATGTATGGTCAAAATTGACATCCAAATGTATCCACAAATTCTTTTTGCGGATACAGGTTGTGTCTACACTTGCACAGAATTTTGAATTTTGTGCATTGCCAATAAGAAAAACGATCCGTCAAAGGGACTAGGCACTAGCGTGCATCAGGGTGGATCAAGAAATTTCCAGATATGTGTGGACAGTGAAATCAATTCAAAAACAATTCAAATACGCTGCATGTGGACGCAAACGTTTCTGTATCTCAAAAAAAAAATTGCGGATACAAAAATATCCAGATATATGTGGACGGGACCTCAATCCTGTCTATCCAAACACTTCTTAGGCTAATCCTTTTAATTGGTCATATTTTGACCAGGCCAACGTGGTGTGGCTGGTCCATGCCCAGCCCAAAGACATCAGAGATCAGCATTTTTGAAATAACTTTTCCAATTCAATTCAAAAGTTTTTCAGACTTGGCCATAACACACAGATCCATGTTCTTTGCAATTTTACTTTTTCTAGTTTAAGAATTTTGGTTAAGTTTCAAAGACCTTGGAAATGAAATGGAAAAGTCATTTTAAAAATGCCAATGTCATGTCATGTCCAGCCATTGAACAGCTGTTTTTTGAGCCCTGTCACTGATTCTGTCTTCGTAGCTTTTGGATGACTGCTACATGAAATRAGTACTGACAGTATGATTACTTTACATCTCCATATTGATGTTTCATCATTTATTTATCAAGGTGAACTGTTAGCTAAAAAAGAAAAGGCTAGTCCATGGCAGCAAGCTACAGCCCAACAAACAGTCCAAGCAAGTAAGCCCGAGGAAAAAGAAATGCCTAACGTAGTGGGAAATGTTTACCGTCCACCAGGAGCATATAAGCCACCAGGAATGAGAAATAAATTAGCAATGAGTGGAGGGGTCAAGGGGAAGGCTCCTGAAATCAATAGTGAGATTGCATTTCCATCACTACAAGCAGCAGTGCAGGACAGTAAAAGGTAAGCTTACCATCACATGCAACAGCAAGTGGAGTTTGTTAGGTCAAGGGATTTTCTCTGGGTTCTCCAGAGCAATTCAATCTGCAAGTCCATGATCTGTCTTTGATGAGCACAGAGGTTGTTTCAGGGTATCAATTTCATTTTCGTTTATTAGACCAGACCTCTAAATTTAAAAAAATTATATTTATGCTTTACAGCAAGGAGCCAGCTGGAAGTAGAAGCTTTGAGACGGTAAAACATGGCTCTAGATCATCAGATAATCCAGTTGACAGAAGGCCCAAGCTGGACTTGGAGAACAAGTATGATGCACTGAGACGAAGCTAAGTGCATAAACACAATGACACCCAACATCATTGCTGGTATCCAATAAACAAACACAAACTGGAATTGATGAAAAGAAATATGGATTGCTATTTTTACTGGTGATGCAGACTGGATGGACACCCCTGCTGAATGTAGCTGAACATGTTTTGAGAGAAAGACAAATTGTCAAAAAACTAGAAGTGATTGGTCATGTTAGAGTACACTAATATGATAAATGAAGTAACCAGAAATGTATATAAACTTAACTAAATACCTTATGAAAGTATGTATTCTTTTTTTGATTTGATCTTCATGAAGTGGGTGGCTTCTCACCTTTTCTTCACACATGTGAGTAGAAAATTAATCTCTTCCTTGATTCAAGGTGTTCAGGGTTCTCTCTTCCCTCTCCACCACCTAGGTTAAATCCCAATTGCCCTATTTCACTATGACGTCACATCAAAACAATCTGATTAAACGCAAAGGATTATGGTCGTCGGAGGGGGTCAATTCAACGCAAATTCACCGAAAATTGTTCTAAAACCCGTATCAATCCACGAAGAGAAGTAGAATAGCCAGCAAACTCTCAGAATATTTTTTAGTACATATTATAGGCCATTTTAGATTAAACTGTTTCGCTAGGAGCAAATTTTGTTGAATTTTCTATTGGATTTGGTGATTCTATATCCCCCACATAAACAAGCAGTGACTTCATAGTGAAATAGGGCAATTCAGTTAGCGAGTTAGCTGTGCCCTGACTTTCATCACCCCAGAGGTTGTTTCAAGGTATCAATAAAATGTGAAGGTATTTTTCAAAGAAATTAGTAGGTTTCTGTTTTGTACAAAATTTCTGCAATCCTGGCAACTTCTAAGATGAAATGACTTCTTGTCTTCCATCGACTTCAATCAATCACAAGGTTATTCCAACAAATTTGTGATTATAACATCTAAGTTGTTTGATCTCCAGCTTTTTTTTTTTTGTTTGTTTGTTTGTTTTTGCTTGCTCATGATTGGCTGCAATTTGGAATGCTTTGTTTTCATTCTACATTGTGATTGGCTGCAATTTGGAATGCTTTGTTTTCATTCTACATCGTGTTTGGCTACAATTTGGAATGCTTTGTTTTCATTCTACATTGCGATTGGTTACAATTTTAAGAACGGTTCTGGTAAGTTGGATTGCCTGTACAAATAGAAGGTACTAACTCAAAGGTTTGCAAATATTTAATGGATAGAACTTAGCCAATACACTACCCTAAAATTCAGCAGTCTCTCCCCTTTCGTGTTCATTCACCATCATCCCATCATGCCAAAGTTACATTTCGGGCTGTGACCAGGGCTCTCATTCTTATTGGTAACAGTTCAACATCCACTGTTGTAATTGGCCACTGCCATTGCACCAACTTACTGATCAGTGAGAGGATCTTTGCCACCCTTTAACCAAAAAACTTTGGTGCATCATAGGTTGCCTGGATTGCAGAAACAGTACAATGATAAAGGTATCTTGATTCTGCTATAACACTGTAATAGAATTCTTTACAAATTCTCCTTCTGACTATTTAACCTGGACGTTCTTCAGGAGTACCAGAAAATAAAAATGTGCTGTACTAGAACAAGAAATTAGTATAAGAAGCCACATGTTCTCGAGTACAATTCGGAATTGATAGGTACAAGTGATGTTTTGAATGACAAGTTTTCAAAATTCCGAATTGCATGAGGAGATTGTTTATTTAGAGTGCAAACAATATAACCGTGAAACTTTAGTATCAGTTAGTAATACTAAATAGCACAGTTTCATGCAAATTCCATTGTTTCCTATGGTTTAATTAGCACTATTTAGTACTATTTAGTAATTGGTGTTTCACAGATTAATTGTTTGCACTCTATAATACACAAGACAAAATTGAGCAGCTTAATTGAAACTTTAGAGTACAATTAAAGATTTAATTATACTCCTTTTCTCCAATCAGAATGGAGTAATTTTGTTGAGTGAATTATAAGACTCGTAAGGCATGAACATTGATGAACGTAGATGAACATTGGCTTACAGACTGTGATTGGGTCAGTTTTGACTGATGATCAATGCCAATGGATTCTCATTACATGAAAAGTATATAGTGTACATGCATTTGACGAATAAAAACTAAACTGGGGTTAAGTAAAAGCAAATATTTTCTGCCTTATCCTATGACAAAGACACGACAATAATTTGATTAACTGAATATTGGGTTTAAAAAATAATCTATGGTGATGGATATATTAACCATCTTGCCCTGGAGGTTAGATTCATGTGTCAAGGACCTTAGAGCACTCTAAAAATTTGAGAAGTAGCATAGTTGACCAATAGTCTAGGGTGTTGAGAAACGTAGTGGAGAAATATTTAGAAAACGCAAGAGCGTGCTGGTTGCAATCATAAAGCACGCGGGGTTGGTAGAACACGAGAGAAGTGTTAGGAGAAGCACGATGAGTAGCCGAGGGCTTCTCGACACTTCTCGGGTGTTCTGTCAATCCCCCAAGTGCTTTATAACTCCACACAGCACAGTAAGCAAGTTTTTTTATTTCTTTTATAAGATACAAATTTCAATAACAGTCGTTTTTTTATAGGAATGACGCAACTGAAAGTGCGTGCGCGTGCTGTGTGCTCTCATAATCAACGCGCACCCAACCAATCGACATTTATAACAGTTATTTTATAATGTATATCAACAAAGCGTGGGTCCTCTCTAGCAGCAGGTAGGGGGACTCGCGATCGATGCCAAAGATATACGGGTTTAACTCGCGGATTTACGAAGACGGGTACAGCAGATTTA